TGACACACAAAAAATTGTACTCTGATGTCTCACTGATTGAGGAATGATGAAATGTTTGTTTTAAAAGAAATAAAACTTTTGAACCTTAAAGATTGAGATAAAACACAGGTTAGCCCCGGGGCAGGTGGGCGGGCCCAGCCGCTGGTCGGAACTACTGGTTCGCCCAAACCGGTCCGACCAGGCAGCAGCCTGCCTCTCTCATTCTGGCTTGCTATTCCCCCTCCTTGTGTTAAAGAAACAGAGTGAGCATTGGAGGTCAAATCTTTTATCTCTGGAAATAGGCAGCTGTTTCTCCTAGCAATGTGAACAGAAGCTTGCAATGGTGCTGTGGGTTGGTACAGAATATGCAACAGTGCTCAAGGCATTCATTTAGAAGCACTTTTTAGAGATTTTAGGCTTTTCTTAACCTTAATGGGTGGCTTTGGTCTTCTGGACCAAGACAAGCCTGTGTAAAAACAGAGGCGCTTGACTATCAATAAATGGGACTTCTTAAAATGAAATATTTTAATTCTTTTAAGCCCAGAGATGTATGGCTTTTGAAGACACTGAATGGGAGCAGTGTCTTCCTTCTTAAGAACTGAATAGAAGCTACTATAAAAATCCTAAAGGAAAACTAATTTCCCCTCCCTTGTCATTTTTGGCAGCGTGAGAAATGCTCTTATCAAAGAAAGAAAAGGTAGTATGCTTATATATTGGTTAAAATATTGGACCAGGATTTGTGAAACTCGTTATGTTTAAGGAGATATTATAACTAATGGGAAGAAAGATGAATTTGCCCCCTTTCCCCCCTCCCAGCAAAGATGGCTACAGTAATTCAGGGGTGTCAAACTCGACTTCATTGAGGCTTCAGGGTTGTGTTTGACCTTGGGGGGGGGGGTTGATGTGGCCAGCTTGACATCACTTATATCGGAGGTACCTTGGTGGCCCAAGCGCTCTGCCAGGTAAACGGGCTCCTGAGCTCCGTTTTTGGCCGTGACGGCCTCCTGCAACCCTCTACCAGTGAAAACAGAGCTCAGGAGGGACACGTGTGGTCCCCCTGAGTCCGTTTTCAGCTGCACAGCCTCCTGCAATCCTCTGCCAGTGAAAACAGAGCTCGAGAGGGCCACACACGACCCTCCCGAGCTCTGTTTTTGCTGGCAGAGAGCTGCAGGAGGCGGTCGCCGCCAAAAACAGCTCGGGAGCTGTATTCGCTGGCGGAGTCACCGTGGGCTGATCCTTCCCTATTTCCAGGGTGGACTTGGGTCTTGAGTTTGACACCTCTGCAGTGATTGGATCAGAGGCCCAAGAGGGCTGGAGGAAGATGAAGTAGCCTATTGCAGTGGTTCCCAAACTTGGCAACTTTAAGACTTGTGGACTTCAACTCCCAGAATTCTCCAGCCAGCTCTGCTGGCTGGAGAATTCTGGGA